AGACTATGAGCTTTACCAGCTGAGCACGCTTATGTCCCTAGGCCAGAAGAATTGGCCATTTCGATCACCCTGAGAAATGTCAAAACGCCACAAATGAAATCACTGAACTGATCAAAACACTCGTCCACTCTTTTGGCATATCTGGTGTGTCATCACTGTGATTTATATCAAGTTCATTCTTGATAATCGTAAGGAAGACTTATATAAAACATAGCTGTTTGTATGCTTAAGGTTTCCTCCCAGTGGGGCATGCCTTTTAAACTTGCAAAAGGATTTGTTCAGGAAGCACCCTGTATGGAACAACCTTGCTGATTCCTTTTGATGCAAAGTAGAAGCATCTGCTCTCCCCTAAGCCCCTCAACCTGTCTCTAGAGAGAGCCTGGTCATGATATGGAGGAAGCTCAGTTTAGCTATTCACTTCTAAGTTACAAATCTTTGTGTTAATAGTTGAAATCTAATTGGTTTATCAGGAGCTTTGACATTCAATTAATTTCTTCTTTATGACTAAGACAGCCTTGATCAGTCTATATAAACATTTGCTGTCATTTGGTGTGATAGTATAGGGCTTCACAAAAAGATTTAGATCAAACTAAATGAGGGAAATTGTGAATGAAAGCTGCATAATAGTAAATTAGATTTTTTTTCCTAAAGTTGCAAAAAAGCTAAAAAAAAAAAAAAAAAAAGGAATACCCAAAGCTAAGACCTGTTGCCATTTTGTTTAACTTTAGCTTAAGTGCATGCAAAAAAAAAGAAAGAAAAAAAAGCAAAAGAGGGTGCAAAAATCCTTTTTAGACTTTGTCTTTGCTTGCAGGCCATTAGGCGATTGGGCTCAGTCTGATTCAGAAAATAATCAAACGAGCAGCAGTGATCAGATCTTCACTTCAGCCTCAATAGAGTCAGACAATTCCTATTAAAAAGGCTGGAGGAGTCTCTTTGAAATGAGACCTGACATCTCTTTTCCACAGCCTGTCAGGAGTATTTGGTGGCTAATTTGAAATCTGCAAAATCTGCGCTTGCGTGTACGGGAAGGGAAAGAGAGTAAGCTCCAGGGGGAGGTTAATAGAAGAGGTGACCAAAAAGAGGCGCCCAAGGCTGTTATCTGCCCAGCCGGTGAGAAGACATGTAATCGTCTGGCCGGATTGTAAGAGTCGCCCAGCTCAACTGAGTCACCAGCTAATGAGCTTTGGAAACTACATTGTATTTACATTTAAAGTGGCTGTTGTGGGACAGTCAATCCAATCAGTTTGATTGGAGACTTTTTAGCTATGATTTACTCTGACCTTCAGGCTTTTTTAGTCTAACAAAAGACGATTAATGTCAGCTTGTCAGTCAAACCTGAGCCACCATGGCTGCAACTGCTGCAACACGTATATCTGTTGATCCTTGGCTAATCTTTCCTAGTTTGACTCATGATGTGTTGGGACCCCAGAGGGGTCCTCATTAAGACCAAACATTGTTTGACCTTTAAGCAGCTTGGCCTTATTCCGCCACCTCCACCCTCACCCAGCTGGACCCAATTACCTCGCTCATTACCCCCTCCTAAACAGGTACCGGAGCTATCTAAGGAGAGCCAATATGTCTGTGGCTAAATACAGGGGTGGAAGCAGCCACTGAGAGGGAGATTAAATCTCTTCTAAATGGCAATGGATTTTTGTCCTATTTTTTTGCAACCCTATGGATCAGATGTAAACTGGCTGGCCACTTTATTAGATACACCGAAGAAATGGGTTGGAGTTTTGTTGGCACTTTAGGGTTACCATAACTATTTTTGGCATGGATTCATCAAAGTTCCAGAAACAATCCTCTGGGAAATTTGGTTGATACCGACAAGGCTGCATCAGATTTTTCAAATGCATATGCATGACAAATGTGTTTTAACTCCTTTCTAAATGGGACACTAAGAAGGTCTGGCAGGGGGACCAGGGGTACCTTTCCTCAACACTGAGGGCTACTTCATGGGTACTGAGTCATGGGACATGCTACAAATACTGGCCAATGAAATGGAGGAGTCAACATTCACCTTAACTTCAGAGATAATAAACATATTTGTATTGTTTCTTTTCATTTCTAATTTACTTTTAGATATTCTCATTTTGAAATCCCTCTAAATGCTTAAATGTTCTAAGTTATTGATATGATGAAATTCTCTATAAATGATTAAAAAAAAAAATAGAGCAACAGCATAAAATAAAATTTCAAAAGATTTCAGTTCACTGGTGAGTTGTTCTGCTTTCAGTAGATGCAGAGGGTCCCCCATGAGGTTCTTGAGGGCCCCTTGGTGCCCACGGGCACCACGTTAGTGACACCTGATCTAACCCTAACCCTAAGGTTTTTTCAAGCCTGAATTTTCCACAGTTGGTTAGCCTGATTTGTTGCAATTTACGGCCGACACGAGTAGCACGATCTTAGCACTTGTTTTCTTCCGGTGTAGGCCATCTAGTTCAAGGTCTGACTTGTTGGCCTTGGTCGCAGGGTCAATATGTTTACATTACTTTATTTTCCCTAAACTGTTGGCATTTTAAAAGGTATCTGTTTATACGTTTATGGTACATAAATAATCTTAATATCGATGTTCAGGGATGGTATTCTGCTCACCTTAGTTGCAAGACTTGGGTATTTTATCTGCTATTACCTTTTTTTTATTCAATTCCACTTAAATCCCCTTTTATCTCCATTCTAATGCTCTGTTTGAATTTCACCAAGCCATTTTCAAAACGTCCAGGTGCATTAATGACTTGAGGCGGTGCCAATGTGATTTGTTGATTCACTAGATGTTAACAATTAATTAAACAGGTTCGCCAAATAATTTGTCCACTGAGTGTATATTAAACCTTTCCAGCTCCAGTACCATCCTTTAAGCTTCCTTTTGCCTTTTCCTCTAGAAACCCAGGGGTTACACCTAAAATAGAAGATGTCTCCTTGTCTGCCATGTTGATGGGATGATAGGATGATCAATGTTTGCAGGATCCTTAATAACCAGAAAGAGAAAAGGCGAATGAGGAAGAGAGAAGGAGATGGATGATTACCCTAAAGGTAGCATCCTTAATTAGATAGAATTCTGCATACATTGTGGACTGAGTGCAATCATTGGGATAGATTAAAATACTAATTAAACAGACCCATTGCTGAATTTGGAGTGTGAGGCTGGGTTCAGCTCTTCAGGGTCATTTGCATAGCCTTCATCTGGGGAGATGGGATTTAAAGGACCTGCTTTCTTTCTCCTTTTTTTCCCCTATTTTTCACATTAACAGCCACATTCACATGCTAACAAACTCAATTAAATGATGCTGCATTTTCCACTTTGGCTCTATAATTTGGTGTAATCTATTAGAGCCCGCTTTGATATTTGTTTTTTAATATAAATGTTTCCATCAAAGTGAGGAAGGGATGTTGAGGAGAGCGAGGAGGAAAAAGTCGGCTAAACTCTGTGATCTTGAGCGATGGATATTTAACATCGCCTCACTTCAGTTTGATTTGCATGAGAATGTCTTTTGTGAACAAAGCATTGAAAATAGCGTGCCATATTTGATTAGATCACAAGATCTGAGGATCAAACTCGGGTGGTGTATTAATTACTGCTAGAACAAAGACAGGAGCTCAAGTTATTGTGTGCTGTGAATGTACAAGTACTCTTCTGCTTTCTGGTAATCTTCAGTAAGAATGAATACTTGTGCATAATAATAGGTGCATTTTAATGTGCACTTTAAAGTGGTGATTGTAACCTATTGTGCATATACAACACCAGGGTAGTATGTACAAAATGGTAGTGATAGCAGATAGTTTCCATCATTACCTACTTCCTAATGTCTATAAACTGAGATAATTGAAGTTTCCTAAAATGATGCAGCTAAAGATTGTGATTATGTAACACCTTCTGTATTTACTTTGTGCCTTTGGTTAATCAGCCATTGTGCAGGTTAAAGCAACTAGCATCTAGTATATTTTTTTGCACTATTCGGAGCTACATGTATTGTATTTATTCATTAGCTGATAAGCTGATAAAAAGGGGTTTATAGTCTGATTATAATGGAGGGCAGAGATATTTTTTTTATTCATTTTTGAGTCATAGGGGTTTAGACAATAGATCTCCAAGTAAAGGGTTGCAAAACTATAGAGCAGGGGTCTCCATCCCTGGTCCTCAAGATATAATGTCCTGCAGATTTCCTTCTCCAACAAACCTGAACTGAATGACTGAAATACATCTTCACCATTCCATCAAGTTTGGCGAAGGCCTGGTGATGAGCTTTTCATTCAGCTTTGTTGGAGCGGGGATGCCTCTTAAATCTGCAGGATCAGTGTTGGTCCTGCCTCAACCTCCCCATCTGATATTAATACTTTTATGAGCATCTTTCCTATAGCTGGTACTCCCCCTCCCTGCTAGCAACATCTAAGGGTACTTGAATAAAGATGGCTCATTTCAGTTGCAGTCCTCACTGTTCAACTTAAACTTTGAATATGTAAAGAAAATGATGTACCCATTTCCTTCCTGTTCATGTTTATGCACTACTTTGTTTCTCATTAATACTAAAAAATCTATGTTATTTGATTTTTGTGGTTGTCATGTAGGAAATGTTCAAATGTTCAGTGAGTCTAAGTACACTTTCAAGTCACTGGATTACTTTAAGACAGGCTTAGTCATTCTTTTTGTACAATTATAGAAAATAAATTGAAATCAAAAATAGGATTACCAATTAACATTTAGCCTCTATACAATAACAGCTTCTATACAAGATGTGGCTTATTTTCTTGATCATTGTTATAAACCATCTAAGCTTAAATATCTGACCAACTTCTTCATCAAGGAAACCACAACTTTGAAATTTAGCAAGCTCCTTTCCCAAAGATTTTCTGTGTTTCCTATGACCAGTTTGACATCTGACTCAAAGTGATAAAGCCATTGCATCATTCTCAGTTTCGCTGATTGCTTGTTCTGCCACGGGAACAGAGAAACCTGTGACTTTGTCACGTCAACCCTCCTCTGCTTTTGTCTCCCCTTGCAGTCCAAGAGAAGCTGCAGCTGGAGAAGGAGACGGGCCTGAAGATAGTGGAGGCTGGAGTGAGTGATGTAAGTGCAAACAACTTCTAAAGCATGGAAGCCATGTTTAAGGTTTTAATCATTTACATCTGTAGCGGTGGTTTTCACACATACATCTGTGGTTTTTGTTCTACCAATTAATTTACTTGTTATTTTTTTAGAGCTGTTATCCTTGCTGTAAATACAAAATACAGCAAGTGAAAGCTTGATGCTCTTTGTAAAACCTAAAGAGAGGCTTGATCACTGCTTCTTTCAACAATGATCGGATTATCTCGAGTACTGTCACTTGTCATGATCCCCAATGCTCGGCTGACATATTCATTGGAAAAAAATTAAGAGGAGGAGGAGGACTCTCTGGATGATACAGATGAAAGCAGAGAAAATTTTATTCAGCCATGATAAATATTCAGATGTATCAAAGGTAAAGATCTAATCAAGCCCCCATTGATGCGTCATAGCCCTCAATGCTTGCTTAGTAAATTAGTTTCTTTATGGAAATGAGACAGACATCCTTAGACCTCTGAGCTATCCTGATCCTGAACCATGCTGGGAGCTAAGTGGATGTGGCCCGTGCACTGCAGGACAGTTTCCAATGGCAACAACGGTCACACTTTGCAAAGACAAGAGCATTTTTCCCGTGTTAGTCCTCTCTCTGTCTTGCTTTCTTCTTCGCCCATCTGCCTCTCTCTTATATCCAGTTTTGTTCCTGCGATTTCTCTCGTCTCATCCCACGTCGGGTTTTCGTTATGTTCCTCATAATTATCACAGATTTTGTCTCTTTTTTTATTTTAAATGTATGACTTTCATTTTAGTCTTTGTCTGTCTCCCTTTGTGTTATGTCTTCACAGAATGATTCCCGCGCCTATAGCCAGCACTAGCTCAGTTTTGTGTTTGTCATATTGGGCCTATTTGTAGATAATTAGCTGCAATAATAGCCTCTCTGCAGGAGACAATCAGGGGGAGGGATAAGGGGAGGGGAGGAAAGGAAGAGTTTGTCTTCCGCCTCATGGAGAGAGAATCTGCTACTGGCTAGATTTAAGAAAAAACGTTGTGCCCTTAAAAAAGTGAGGTAGCAAATTAGAAATCCCCAAAAGCCACTTAGAGGTTGTTTTATGAGCTCTAATGTGCATGTGTTGACCTCACCAGTTTGCATCCAAGAAGTGGAGAGTTAAGGCTAAGTTGGTAGAAAATGGCAGCTTTTGACAGGAGAGCATGTGAAGTGTGCTCTCCAAATACATTAGTTTAAAAGGTGTTAAACCAAAAGCCTGCTTTCAATAAATTCCCTCTAAATTGACCGCAGTTATGAGTGAATGCATGCCACGTTTGGAGAGAGCTTCGTCTTTCGTCTACCTATTAGTGGTATGGATAGAAATATGCTAGGTGAAATTGCTCTATGAATCCATTACAGGTACTGAGCAGGAAATTAAGCCGTACTGCGGATTCTTCCATCTGAGTTTCTGTAAAACCACCATAGTGGTTTCTGTCATTAAGCCTTATCAATGTGAGCTCCCACACCTCCTTGGTTTTTATTTAAGAGGTGACAAATGACAGGACAGCTTAGGAAGATGTCCAGATAGAGCAAACGTCAATACTTGGAGATGCTCATGAGGATAAGCAAATGTCAAAGTGGGGAGGAGGGGACATTAGTCAATAAGCTTAGCAATATCCACTCCATTATAGATCACATGCTAGTTTGCTCACAATATCATAGGAAGAATTTTTTTTTCTTGTAGGACAGACAGTGGAAGAGAAAAAATGAGTAGTTTGAAATAATTAAGGACATTTTATTTTTTATTTTTTTTTTTTTTTTGCCCCTTTAAATCCACAAACCTCGGTATGTTTTATTGTTTTTTTTTATGTTGTAGACCAATTATGCATGTCTAGATAATTGAAACTATGTCCTACCTTATTGCACAATCATTCGAGCTGAAATAGTTTGTCAACATCAGTTTTTACATTATAGAAATAAAGGTTTACGGATATTTTCATGGATTTATGTCTAGAGCCAATTATTGATTGTTTAATGGCTTATTAGAAAAATACAGTTTAGTTTTAATTCTCCGGTTTTAAAAAGCTGAAGAAACACATAAAACTTGTGTAAAAAAAGAAAATAAATAGATTTTCTATTTTATTAATTTTTTTTTGAAGAATTGCTTCTTAAAGGAATTAAAATTTGGAAGAAAATCTTTTATTTATACAATTTGTAATACCGGTACTCTGTAATCACACAAGCATAAGAAAAACAATGCAAATATTTGTTATTACCTTTGCATATTACACTCGGGGGGAAAATGTAAACACAACACTTTTGGTTTTGCTCCGATTCTTTTTATGAGAACTAGGAACTAGTTCACATTTAGTCAAGGCAAGGAAAGTGTATTGATATAGCACATTTCAATGCTGTATGTGGAAAAAAAAGAGAGAGAAAAGTACATTGCAGGGACATAAAGGTAACATCAATAATTAAAAGAATAAGAATGAAGAATTAAAAAAAGATGAATATATATGAAAATTATACAATTGCTGATAAATAAAAGAAAGGTTGGAGTGAAAACTTAACAGCTCCATTAGTGTCTCTTCCAGTGTTACTATCCACTGTTACCATAATCCCACCACTAAGCTTCACCACAGGAATTATGTGTTCGAGGTCATATAGTGTTAGTTGTTTTGCACCACAAAGTGTTTAGCATTGTAAACACTACGTGATTTCAAGCAAAAAGACAAAAAAAACATTGCTATATGTTTTTACCGACAAGGTTTGTCTTCTTACCAATGTGAATAATAAACTCTGGCAGATTTTGAAAGCCTGGGAACCCTTACAAACTACTACAACAAAAAATGTGGGAAATTCTGACAGGGTTAATACCTTTGAATATATCACTGAATCACATTGATATCACTTTAAAGTATATATTTATAGAAATGCATATTTTCTTACTAATGCCTTCTCTCCAAGAGATTGCTGCAGAGAGTATTTCTGCAGAAAATAACTCAAGTGGAAATCCAAGAGGCACATAAGGGGCTCCTGACAACATTGCAGATTTTAAATGTGTTAAAAACTGAACAGAATAGAACACTTTAGGGACAGCAAAGTCATGGTTGATGTGGTCCTGAACTAACAGGCTGCTCTGGTTACTGCACATTGAAAACTTCTCAAATGATTTGTAGAAAACATGTTATCAGACACTCGCTGCTCTCGGTTTGGGATATTAAGTCCAGCAGATTGTAATAGACGTTGACTCATCCAACATAATTGTTCCGTACCAGCTCTGTTGCTGCCCTTCCTGCCTCCTTGAATCTTCATCTTTGAGCTGAATACAGCAACAGGGCAAAAGATGCTTACAGCCACATAGATAGCAGGACTGGTAATAGTCTGGCAAACTGTTTGCTTAAGGACTCATTCAGCCAATATAGCAGATGATTTTGCAGTAATATTCCTCATTTTTTCATATGTTACCGATTAATGGCCTTCAGCATTTAAAAATGTGGGAATGACCTTTAAATCTAACTTAATGACTGCAAGTTATAATGTAATCTATGACATAATCTTTGAGATCCGACATTTGAATTGTAATGACATCAGATTTTTAGGGATTAAAACCCAGGGAACATGTATCCTTATGTGCAGATGTTTTCCCCTAGATTAAAAATGCAATATTAAGAAAATGGCAATTATCTAATTCCTTTGACATCTTAATTTTTTAACAATATTCATCTAAATCTTGAATTTAGACATGCAACCAGCCTGCATAAGATCCCCATGTGGTAGGAAGAGAGGTTAAATTGAGATTCACTGACATTTTGACAGCAGTCTTGTGTTCGCAATAACTCCGGCAAACTGCCTATGTGAAGAGGCATTCATTAAGCTCCGAATTCCCACAGCTGAATGCAGACTGATTATTCCACCACTAAATTTAAATCATATGTGGCAGATGAACTCCTCTGTGTTGTGTATGCAGGGTGTTTATTCTTTTTCACTCGAAACAGCATCAGTATCAGTGTTTATGTGGTTGTGGTGAAACAAACTTTACTTGATGAATATGACTTGAATATCTCATATATATATATATATATATATATATATATATATATATATATATATATATATATATATATATATATATATATATATACATCTATATAGATATAGATATATATATATACCGTATAAATAATTGTGATGAGATGAACAGTGAACAGTGGTGTTTTTTAAATCAGAGAATCACAGGAAAAGATAGATATATTTTATGCTGATTTTAAAATCCATTCCACTCATTTAAGTCTACATATCCTCAGAGTCAATAGCAGTGGTTTAGTACCCGGTAGTTTTCTCTAGATCTATGTATTGATGCTTCCTGGGTTATGTCATGTGGAGTTTACAGTAACTATCTGTATCAACCAATCATTCCTACCTTGGCCCCAATTGCCTTTTCACAAAGACAATCTTCTACAAAAGGCGTAATAAGCCCAGACACTATAAAAACTGATGTCTATAAAAATTTCAACAGTGCAGGAAGGCCAATCTGAGCATTTTAACTGTGGCTAAAATGCCATTACTGTGGCAGATCTGGATGTGAAATGTCATATTGGAGCAGCCCCACTGTGCCTTCAGCCCAGAGTAAGGCTGCCTCTTTGGAGACTCCAGCTGCCTCCCACTGATGAAAGCCCATCCAGCAGCTCCCTTTCTCAGCAACCTTTTACCATCACCTGACCTTTGGACTGCAGAAATGCCTTTGATTCCATGCCTTGCAGCTTGGTATTTGCCTCTGTATAGCATGACGTGTGCTCTCTGGCAGGAAGGGCTGGACTTGTCTGTTTTTAATGAATACCAGAACGTAAAGTGTTTACTTTCCTTTTACCTTTTTTTCATTCTACTGTGTGTTTAAAAGGTGCTACAGTTTCTGAGGTAACATGACTTTGGTATTTCAATTAAAAAGCAATTCTGCACAGGTTTACAAAGTAATATATATTGAACATATTGGTATATTGAACATGTAGTTTTTTTACTTAAAGAGTTCAAGATAAAAGTT